AAATTTCGACACGCTTGCATAGCTCATAATACGAATTTCACTTTCGATAGCGAGCGAAGATCGAAAATCGAATGCAACTCGTTATAAGCCCATAATTTGGATATTTTTAAGAAAGCTATAATTTTATTATTATTATCGATTGTGGGGTTGAAAATGCATTGAACGGGATCGGTGTTATGGAATATATGGTTTCTTAGTGAATTGAAGGGATAACAATCTGACACAACGTGATTAATGGAGATCGGGGCGGAGTTACAAAACTGGCAAATTCTGCGGTCCATAAGGTGAAGATGGGTTAATTTTGAATGGCCCAGACGAAGTCGTTCGAGTTTAATAAAATCCATTCTAGAAAGGGAAAGGTCGGCATGTTTTGCAGGGTTGCTTAAATTAAGCTTTTGTACATTTTGCTCTTTGTACCAAGTTGAGCATTTGTGCCAAGTCTCGGATTGATATTAGGGGTATTCTCGAAGTCTTGCACGATGTAAGGATTGCACGAAATGCAAAAATTCTATTCCAAATTTGGAAGCAGCGAAATTCTGTATCAAATACAATAACAAGATACAGCAACAAAAATTAAGTGAGCGAGATGAGAGGAATGAGAGAAATATGTAGCAATTCCAACAACAAAACAACTAGCACAGGGTCGCATTTATTTTGCTATGCTTTTTTGCAAAATATATACATGGGTTTCGACGTTGCATATTTTGCAGCGATAAGAAATGGTGTTTTCCATATATTTTGTTTTTGAGTGTTTGCAAGTTATGCAATTCGTGCAACCGTGCCACGTGCAACGGCTTTGGAAGATTTGGGGAATACCCCTATTGTTTTATTAATTTCTTCTTGAGAAATTCAACTATTAGTACGTTTATGTGTTTTAAATCCTGGTTATGCCACTCAAGATTTTTAATCTAAAAACATCATAACCCTAGTAAACAGCTGTATGTGAAACGTGGCGTTGCTGGACTTGCACTTCACGATTTCATGAAATGATGCCGAATTCATGGTAAACTTTCGTGTATAACTGAATTCATAAAATGGTGTTTATACACCCAATTTTAACCCAAATTCCTGAAATGAATTCGTGAATTAGCCTACGCATAAACGTAGTATATGTCATTCACACTTAGATTAGTAGTTGTTAAGACAGGAGCTAAGGTGGCGTATTTTGCTGTGCTTCAGCAAGTTCATACCCTTTATAAGGGCATGGCCCAGGGACCATATCAGTAAAATATTTGGGTATTTTTTTGTAAAATACTACGGATAAAACTCGGATAGTAATCGTTATTTTCGATTTTGGATATAGCATCAAGAGATGAAAGTGAATCGGATCAAATTACAAATTTACCTTTTTTGTTTTTAATTAGATTAACAGCCATATATTTTCATGATTTCGATTGCTTGAATTTCAATGAGGTTTCAACGAAATTCTATCGAAATCCTAACTTTTGTCCAACACTGTAGAATAAATAAAAAGTTCGCATGGTGGCACGGACCAAAATGGCTCTCTTGCCACATGGATGCATGCCAGGGTCAAAGGCATGCAGTGCATCTCCACCAGAAAAGCGCAAGGTGGAGGTATATCACGCGCTTGAAGAAGAGGTCGATTTTCTTGATCGCTTTTCTTCTTCCTCTCGAGCACTCCGCGTGACTGCGTACATGTTCCGCTTCCGGTTAGCTACAATCACCTATCCATATCTGACACATAACGAATTTCAATATGCAAAAATTCGTCTTATCAACGCAGCGCAATCACGCCATTTTCCGAGCGAAAAAAGCGCTTTGCAAGATAAAAGGCCACTTAACAAAAAAAGTCCTCTTCTTGTTCTCAATCCTTCATTGGACAAATACGGACTTATACGGGTTAATGGTCAATTAGCACATTCCACATTGAGCTATAATGAAAGGCACCCAATAATTCTCCTTACCGAATCGAGGTTCTGCCAGCTATATTTGGAGTTTTTACACTCGCTGCTTCTTCACGCAGAAACACGATTAATGCTCCAAATGGTAAGGCAAGAGTACTACGTACCAAAGCTAAAACCTCTCATTAAAAAATGCATCTTTCAATGCAAAGTGTGCACGCTTTACAAGCAACAAACACGCACCCAAATAATGGCCGCTCTACCCCCTGAGCGCTGCAGTTTCTCACTCCCATTTTCCACAACGGGAGTAGATTTTGCTGGGCCATTCCAAATTAAAGCATCGGTGCTAAGATCTACAACCCTTATCAAGGGATACGTTGCAGTTTTTGTCTGTTTTTCCACAAAGGCAGTGCATCTCGAGCTATGCTCGGATCTTACAACCGAGGTCTTTCGAGCAGCATTCGCCTGCTTCGTTGGCAGACGAGGTTTCCCCTCAAAAATGATGAGCGACAATGGAAAAACGTTTATTGGCGCCCAGCGCGCAACAGAACGCGACTTCGTTAAATTCCTTAACGAATGTTCCGCAGACATTGTCAAAAAATATGCCCCTCAAGGCATCAACTGGCAATATATACCACCCAGCGCCCCCCACATGGGCGGCTTGTGGGAATCTGCAGTGAAAAGCTTTAAAATCCATTTAAAGAAAACCGCTGCAACCCACAAGTTCACTTTCGAAGAATTCACGACGCTTCTGGTGCGAATTGAAGCAGTCCTCAACTCGAGGCCTCTATCCGCACTTTCTCAAGACCCAGCTGATATGACAGCACTTACTCCGGGTCACTTCCTTCGAGGTGCACCGCTATTGGCCATTCCCGAGCCTAATGCGGAAGACCTCTCCCTACTAAACCGGTGGGAGAAAGTCAAAGCACTTCACCACCAATTTAGTCGCCGCTGGAAATAAGATTACCTCAAAGATCTTCAGAAGACATACAAGTGGAAAACCCCACAACGCGATCCTCAGCCAGGCGACCTCGTCGTGATCAAAGAAGATTCGCTCCCCCCCACCGAGTGGCGATTGGGACGAATCGAAAACGTTCGCCACGGCCCTGATAACCACATACGTGTCGTAGAAATCCGTACACAAAATGGAGTTATCAGGCGGCCACTTGTCAAACTGTGCTTCCTTCCAAAAGCACAATAAATGATTCTATACATATTTTTCTTCTGTATATTAAGGGTCTTAACTTCCCGTTTAAATATTGTACCCAAGTACTTCTCGTTTCTCTGCCTTTGCTTCTACTTCCAGATCGAAGACATCATGGCATCAAGGAAGGCATGCCCCCTGGCTCCAACGGCGGAAACGGACAACTGCCTACAATGCAGGCTCTGCCACCGGTACCACGCCCTGCGGACGTGTTCGGCCTTCAAGGCGATGAAGCCGCCACAACGGTTGGGAGTAGCCCGCGCACAGGGTTACTGCATCAACTGCCTTGCCCTCACCCACACCACGGGGGAGTGCGACTCGCCAGGCAGCTGCAAGACCTGCGCGCTAGCGCACCACACGCTGCTGCATGTGGCAGCCAACAACCATGCGCGCACGGGCCAACGAAAGCAGCAACCCAAGCATCGCGCACCTGCACGTAAGCGAGTAAAGACGCCCACCAACACCGCGCAAGAAGACCGCCCGACGCAGGATTGCGCGCACCCCCCAAGGCCTGCAAACGGCCAACTATCAGGGCCGCACCACTAACCGCGCCCTGGGCAACGCGATCCGCGCGCTGAAAGAACTGCAGGAGACCCTAAGCAGCGCATTCTTGCAGGGCGGGGAGGATGTCTAAGCCGCCGCTTAAAGCGCAATCCGACGGCCGTGCGCGCACTTCTTGGCCGCAGCAGTTTGGCAGTTGACCTCCGTCAACTCCGAAAATGTTTACCGAGCGCGCACGGCCGCCTACCATCATCGTGCCAAATTATGCGAAAGGCAGTTCAGCTAACATCGTCGGACTACGCGCACGCGCCCTTATCGGAGTCCACACAGTGTTGTACTACATTTACCCAATAAATTTGTAAATTTGTGTGTGACAAAACTACATAAATCAGAAAAAAAAATTTAAATTTTGTAACTATTAAATCGGAAAAACAAAGTCTTTCCTTCCAGCGGAAACAAAGTGTGTGCAAGCAAGGTGAGTGCGAAGGGACCAAGCGACCAAAATATTCAGTACTGATTATGCAATCCTGCAAATTATACAAATTACCGTTGATTAGAATTTTCTTAGTCGCATTTGCCTTCATATAACGAATAAACACACTTTTTTATGTGGAAGAAAACCGCAACACTTTCGGGAAAAGAAATTTAAAACGAAAATTTTTAGCCGCTTGGAACTTGCACTTACTTGAATTGAGTGGGCTACACAACTGCAAACTCAAAGTCTTTCTAGGAAATGTTATTAAAAAGCTCGAAATTTTTACGAAAGTCTGTAGAATTTTTTTTAATATTACACAAAGTTTGAAATTTGAATTTATGCGGTTTTTGGTAAAGAATTAACAAAATTTTTATAAACAAAAAAATAAATCAAATTAATAGCAAAAAAATTTAATTGTGAAAACTTGTCCAAATATGTATGTGTACATTTTTTTCTTTATTTGTTAACTAACTTTATAAAAGTTTGGTTTGGTCTACGAATGCATACATAGCTGAATTACAAAAAAAAAACAGACAGACCAACAATATTTCAAAATACACACAAATAAGGAGATATCCATGGGCGAGGAATTTTACGAAACTTCCGTCAAAATGGGGGATTTTCATTGTCGAAATCGGGGAATTCTCGAAAATGAGTTGGCTACCCTGCTTGGAGGTTACACGTATCAAGAACTTGAAATCAAGTTGCAATACACTCACACTTTTTACTAACGCTTCAGCGAAATGAATTAAAAAGAAAATAATATAAGAAGGGCGATGGCATCACTATTTTTTGTATTCCTTTTTATGCTTTTTCGGTTGGGAAATCAATCCGATCAATTTGAAATTCGAGTTGCAATTTAACTATTTTGTCATTAAAAAGAAGTGCTATACAACAATTAACGCTGTAATAAAATTATAGGTCACGATTTTAATTAGCTAAGTGTTAGTATGTAGTAATAATAGCTCCTTTTTTTGCCAAATTATATCTTATATAGGAAAAGATATTGAAAGATGCGATACAAAAATGCGAAAATGCATCCTTTTGAATAAAAAATTAGCAGTAACATTGCGATTTTTGGCCACTGGAGAATGTTTCAAAAACCTTGCAGAAAACACTAAAATCTCGTTGGCTTATTTGAGTACAAGTGTTATAGATGTATGTTCTGCCATATATGTATGTAATACTCCTATAATGGCAGTAAGAGTGAGAAGTTAGGTTACTGGCATGCCAATATAGAAGTATTACATATATGTTACTACGTTTATACGCACGTATTATTTGCAAATAATATGCAATAATTGCAAAATGGTAAACTTTGCCGTATAAACGCTGAGTTAATTTTTTATTTCCAAATAACTAAATCACGCAAATAAGTATTGATTAGTGGTACTATTTGCAAATAAGCGCAAGACGTCGCCATTCTTGGGTTTATTTTCCTTTTCGATGGTCATCTTATTGCCTTTTTATAATCAGGCAATATTAAAAAAGAATTTTTCTCCATCGAATAAACAGTGAGTTAGGTATTTGCAAATTACTTTTATTTGCAAATAGCTTATGTACGTATAAACGTAGTATGTGTTCTGCCATATACAACAATATGCGTCACGCATTCTTAAAGGCAATTAACTTAATTTTTATGTTTTTTATTTTGGGGTATAAGTAAAAAAAAAGGGGCCGTTGAGCTAGAAAAGAATGTTGTTGGATGTTGTCCGTCCCTTTTCCTTGGGTTTAATGATAAATAATTATTAGTGGAAATTAGGGGGGTAAAAGTGGAATTTTCAATATTTTTCAAAGCTTATATTTTGAAAACTACTGAACCGATTGTGGATGATTGGAAAGATAAATGAAAGAGCTTTCACTTGATATGCATCGAAATTAAAGGTATTCTGATAAACATCTTTTAATATTGTTAACTACATATATTTTTTAGAAAAACATACATTATTATTAAAAAAGGGGCCATAATTTCGTTTTTTTTAGTTTTTCTCAGATAATGTATACATTATTTGTACACATATACATTTCAAACAAAAGCTTTTTCAATTACCTTTCCAACCATAATGTTTTGAAAATCGGTTCAATAGTTTCCGGAATATAAGCTTTTGAAAATATTGAAAATTCCACTTTAACCCTCCTAATTTTCACTAAAAAGTGTTTATGCCATTAAACTCAGGGAAAGGTGCGGACAATATCAACTTTTTTTTCTTTTCTAGCTCAACGGCCGCGTTTTTTTACTTCTTCCGATTTAAGGAGATAATTTTACAACAAAATTTTGTTTAGCTTTTCAGTCCAACCCGTGACACAAAAATCAACTCACTATATTCCTGAATAAAGTTAAGTAAGCGTTTTTTGTGCCTGATAGTTAATCATAAATAAGTGGATAATGGACGGATTTTATTAAAATATAGCTCATCTGTTTAAATTATAGTTTAATTGCCTTCAAATCGCTTTAAAATTCTTCAAAGAAAACTTCCACTTCAGAAAGACAAAACTAAAATTATTGTTTAAGCTTGATGTGTGCTTCACAATTTTTTGATAGAAAAAAGCGAGTGGTATAGAAGAAATATGGAAGAAATAGAAATTGAGGCCGAAAATAATACTTCTTCCAGAAACTTCAGCATTTATGGAAGTAAGTTTGAAAACATTAGAAAGGAATTAAAATATTTTTTTTTGTTCGGAAGGGAAAATATGATTATATTTTTTGTCCAATAAAAATTAAGTTTTAATGAAAAATATCGAAAAAAATAATTATTTTCTCGTTGGCATAAGTAAGTAACGAATAACTTAAAATCAAATTGAAATTTTTTTGCAATTATCTATAAAGTTTATAGGAAGGAGTTTCTATTTTGCTTGTTGTGACAGAATTAGCAACGCTGTCAAGTTCGGCAAAGCTCCTGCGGTGGCATCTCAGCAGAAACAGAGTTTTAGAAGGTGAAGACGGAGGGCGGACGTGTTGCTGTTACCTGCTATTCCTTGTGACCGGCGGAGGGGAGGCAGAGGCTTGGGCCGCACGCTGAACTATGGGAAATTTGACCCTAACTAGAAGTAGTGGCCTTGCCGCACAAAAATTAACCCGTAATGGTCACACCTCCAAAAAATAGCGCAATGATCACACGGGGTCCAGTGGACCCCAATCCAATAAATAGATGCCTCGTACGTTCTATTTTAAATATCGACTCGAATCCTCCACTTAAGTTTTAAACTTTCTCTTTGTTATCTGACAGATTTCNGTACGTTCTATTTTAAATATCGACTCGAATCCTCCACTGACCTTAAGTTTTAAACTTTCTCTTTGTTATCTGACAGATTTCTTTCCAACTTTTAAATTATAACACCGTGAATTATTTCATAAAACTCATGATTTTGTAATAAGTAGTTACCTAAGAAAAATTATAATTTCTTTAATATCGCACAAAATCGCAGTATAAGATTATGAGGAAATAAGAGATCAGGGACTATTCTACCGATTTATGATAGGTTTTTTTAAACGGTTTTAAACATTTTTTCAAAACACTAAATAAACTTTTTTTTAAATTGTACAACTTCACTTTAAAATCACTTAAATGCGGACGTTTCTTTGGCACAACCTTTAAACTATAATAGAAGTTTTAATTGGTAAATATTCTACTAACCGTCACTCTTTCTTTCCACTTTTCACTTTTGAAAAGCAGCAAATAGATTACGAGATACACGCATTTGAAAGTGGGACAAAATCAAGCTACACATTTTTCTTTTACAGAAAATTTCGAAACTATCTGTTTGAGGGTTACCAAATCAACGGTAAGTCAATTTATCAAAAAACACAGTTTTTTACTCTGAAATATTCTCTGTAAGATAAGATAAACAATATTAATTTCAAGCAAGTCAAGAAATTGACTTTTGGCCACAAAATAGGCTCAAATTTCCCATAGTACTCTGGCAAGACGCGAGTAACAATCGCCCACAACCTGTGGTGACTCCATCCGAAGCAAGAATTGCACCGAATCGAAGTGGAGATGGAATGGAGTTTTCCCTGGCAGACGCAGCAGAAATATAAGTACTTCTGTGGGTCTACTCTTTATTGCGATCGTAAAGTTGATGCCCACAGAAAATATATGGTCGGTATTAAAAATGGGCGAAATCGGTCGATAACCAAGGTAGCTAATAGTTCGGCGAGCTCGGTAAAGAGGATGGATCACAGCAACAGTCTTCTTAGGGCTCAAAACTGATGTATAATAGCGTTATACCTAATGTTCGGATCTTAGCGCTTCATCGCTTGTTTTCTTTATTAATAATGAAAAAGTTCAGTTTTAGCTTATTTATTTGCGCTATTTTATTGTCACGAACATGTCTTACAATTTGATTATTCCTGACGATCCAGTACAACAGGTGTAGTAATAAGAGCGAGAAGAAAAAAATTACACTATCTTATTTGAAAATTAGCTTGAAAAAAATTTCAATAAGATAAGTCGAATGTCAAGAAAATACAGAAAATAAAGCGAGAAAGCTGCTTTATTACCACCCCTGTTTTTAATTTTATCATGCTGAAGATCAAAAGTGAGTGCATGGTTATTTTTGTTAAATATTTGAAAGGTTTTTTAAGTTAAATTTTTTTTGTTATTTTTTAAATATGGTTCATGCTATTTTCCTTTCAAGTCGGGAGGTAACCTGAAAGTCAAGTCAAATAGCTGATCATAGTTATGGCCCCGCATACACAGGGATGCTTTTGACTGACAAAATGCACAGAACGGCACAATCAAAACGTTGCCGCAAACAAAACGGCTCAATTTGATTGGTCAAAAATCAGCTGGTTCGAACTTGTTCCATACATTTTTGTGGTTGTTGTTGTTTCGCTGCATATGCGTGCGTCAAAAGTTGAGGATTGGGCAAATTTTAACAGTTGCGGCAATGCATGCGTTGCCAATGTGACGTTTTCTGTTCAAAATCACAGAGTTTACTTAGATGTCAGTTAAAAGCATCCCTGTGACGCAGACACGAGTTTCTATCTGGCGGGGCCTTTAGTCTGTTCCCGTACTTCGAGATTTAGTCGAACATAGCCAGGGTGATATTACTGCAGGTGTTATAAATATGTGTGCGGGCGAGATTTTAAAGTGGTTGCCTTAACGACGGCATCTTGAAAGTAAAATTGATTATCAAGTTGCGTGCGGCCTGCGTCACAGCTGTCAATTCAAATGAATTTTGACAAGCAGTATGTGTGATCAATTTGAAACCAAGTTCTTTATCGTGTATCTTCATAATAAAGTTAGAGCAGGATAGACCAGCTGTCAACAAAACAATAGATCCAGTTAGAGCAACTCAGATCAGAAATCTTTGTCAAACCTACAATTCTTATTTCGCCATACACCATGCAAACACGACTCGTCGAAGCAAAAAAATCTTAGTTTTCTTCCGTTTCACAATGTTAAAAATTATTAGGGCTGTTCAGGATGTTGTGGAAACGGTCTTGGATTTTCTGCCACGGCAACGGTGTGCATTTTATTGTTGTGAATTTACAAATGCAACGAATATGCAAATCCAAGAGAATGTGCACAAGATCCCGAACAGCCCTATTGTATTCTTCCATATTGCCCTCTTACGTCCTCACTCGCTGAAAATTCCATTGCAAATAAGGCGAATTTATCATTCACAACGCAATTGGTTTGACTAAACGTGAAAATGGCAGCCAGAAAATCAAAAAAATTTTATTTTTGTTCAAATTTCCCTCAAACGGCTTGTCAAACCTTTAAACACCCCCATACACAACACAAATGGCTTGAAGCAAAGGGATATTTCGCTTGCTTTGTCAGGCCGCTTGCGTTGTGTACTTCACTCTTTACTCTTATGCATTATGACTTTCGGTAGCGGGCGGATCTAAAATTTAATAAATACCGAACGGCTCATCAGCACGGTTGCCGTTTTGGTCCAAATGGACCAAATTTGGTCCATTTCTTTTCTTTTGGTCCATTGGCCCAATTCTTTCTAAAATGGTCCATTTCACAAGACTTTGGTTAGGTTATTATCTTTCACTTTATGCAATAGTTTCGCGTTTTCAATTTTTTATATTTAATTGATGAATATTCCTATGATGAATATCGTCATCGTCAGTAAGAGTGACGATACGGCCATCATCAGCCATGTTACTTGTGCGCTGACGATCGTCGACGATGACGATGGAGATATTCAGCATAGGGCCGATTGGCAACACCTGCTTAAAGTGTGAACTCGCCTTGCCACTGATCTTCAAATATGGCATGGCTAATCATCTGTCAAAGCACGATTCAAAAAATATCGCGGTTTCTTGCTAATTTCAATTACTCGGTGACCAATATTAAAGTAGCTAGCAAAAATATGGAAAGGTAGAAAAACTTTAATCATATCGTTTAGCACATGAAAATAATATTCGATTAGAATCGAAAAGATATTAAACCTCTTGAGATTATTACACCACATAAAGTTCTTTCTGATACTGATGTTTAAATTTTGACGCTACTCGACCAATTTCCTGCATTGGTAAATGATGTAGACATAACTGAATTTCAATTTCGCAAAATGAGGCTGAGTGGAGGTAACTTCAAAAACTGTACCAATATAGAACGTTTTTGGGACCAAGTGAGTTTGATTAAAAATGGATTGCGTGAAGCGGCCTTCGGAGAATTGTGTGATTTAGTTCATAACATGTTTGGTCTGCCTCACAGTTTCTCAGCAGCTGAGCGCAAATTTTTTAAATTAGCATTAATAAAAACGAAATTAAGAAACAAATTATAATTTAGAACTTTAAATAATATAATGCTAATAATATACAATTGTAATGCACTTTGGATAAATACAATATAAAAAATCTTCATAAAAACTGAATGAATTTTTCTTGATAAAGAGGAATAAACTCCACTCAGCTTCCCGATGTAATAAAAATTGGTAAATTTTTTACCATTTGGTCCATTTTTTGCTCCAAAAAATAAATTGTAAATGGCAGTTTACCAACTACCAGAAAAATTATCGAGTTTGCCACCATGGTAATTCTGTGAATAATTTTATTTTGACAGCAAAAATTCAAAAAACTTGCAACTTCAGCTATCATTTTCGCTCTCCCAATTTCCCCTACTTTGCAAGTTTTTGCGTACAAAAGCGCCAAAACATGAAAACTCGTAAAAAATTTTAGTGGATCTTACTGGAAAGAGGGAAAAACACAACTAATACAAAGTTATGTAATTTGACACTCCGGTATCTAGATTTGTATTTTAGAAGTACGGAGAAGTGGAAGAATGAGATCGTTTTTTGCGAAAATGGTACTAGAAATAATAAATATACTTTTCATACAACTACCACATAGAGTTTCAGCACCAGCGCTAAGGGAAAAGATGGCCAACTCCCACCTTTTTGCTCGCGTTGACAATAAGCTGGTTTAATATTTATTTTCTTTCGTTCAAAATCGAGTTTTCATGCATAAATATAAAATTTAATTACATTGCTGATACTTATAAAGCTAAATACATAAAATCTACAGCAATTTTGACAGTAAAAAAGCATTGCCAAATTATTTTCTCGGTGTTCATTGTGGCATACCTTTGCGTCTTGCGTTTTGCTGGCAAGGTTATCTATGTCACGCAAAGTCACAAAGTTATATCTGGCATCAGCTTTATGGCCAGTATGCAGCTCTCAAGAAAAGCAAATACTCTATATAAAATGATGTACAAGAAATGGCTAAGAAATTTTCTTGAGTAAAATTTCCTTAAGGCAGTACGCAGTTCTAAAGAATTTTGCTACCCTTTCTACTACGGTTTTCTAAATTTTTTTGTGAAAAAAGTGCACAAGGCAACCCATGTTTGCAACAGAAATATATGCCCGTTCCATTATTTCTTGAGGAAAGAGTGACTCAACGGGCTGTGAAGTATCAGATGTCAATATTCCTTGGACACACCCACGAAATACTTAGGGCCAGTTTTTCAGTGCACGGTCGTGGTTTAAACTAAGTTTAAACGCCCGATCTGGCTGGTTTATACTAAGATCAGCCAATCAAATGTCAGCCAGCTGTTGAATTTAAACTCAGTTTACTTAAGGCTGGTTTTCATTAGGTCAAAATCACTGACATCAAAAACTGCCTTCATCTGACAGCTGTTCATTTGATGTCAAATGCGTTTTAATTACATTTTAAAAACTGATCAAATGTCGATACCGCAGTGCATGTCAAAGACTGTTGTCAAATTTGAGTGTCAGATGATTGACATTCCGTTTTCATTACTGATGTCAAATGTGATGTTAAATTTTTACAAAAAGTGTAGAATACCGACCTTTTAGCTGTAGGCAAACCAAAAATGTAACTAATTTTTCGATATTTTGAAATATCAATATTTGATGAACTACATAACCGATTAAACTACTAATGATGTCAAAATAAAGGTGATTAGTTTATTTTTCAGTTGATGTACATAATTTTTCTGATTTTTTATATTTTTAAGTCAAAAATTCTAAAAAACAAAAAAATTTAATTTTTTTATTAAATTACCTATTTTGAAGAAAATTGCATAATTAATGCTACAGAAATGTATATTATTTAGAAAGTACAAGTTATTACTTTATATAGAAAGGTTTGTTATAGGGCAAAATTTAACGAAAGTAGTGGTGAAAATCGAAATTGTATATACATTTTTTTAAATAGCGTTTACCAAAAATTTGTTTTAAAAATGGTTATAGTAAATAGGTCGTAAAAAAGCTTGTAGAATTATATTTGAATTGAAATCAATACTTTTCTAATCGGTGAATTAGTTTCCGAGATATTAAACATAAAAAATAGGAAAGTTTTAACCCGTTATATTTTCTGTTTTTTACTTGCCCCATATAATTTGGATATGGTTGAAATCAGCGTGAAAAGTTCTACCGATCTGCATTTTTGGTTTTTTTGTAACTAAACGGTCCGTATTGTAGCTAGAATCAGCTGTTCGCATGGCAAACGAATACAAAATTGCCAACATGTTGGCAAATACATTTTGGTTGTCAAATGCTGCCACATCAGCGGCGAGAGCCGTTTTCATTTGGATGTCATTTTATATGACCGTACGTGGTGATATATGACAACAAACGCAAATGGCTCCAGATGACAACCCGTTTTCATTGTTTTGACAACATTTGACGTCAAATATGACCTAATGAAAACCAGGCTTTGATCTAAATTTAAACTGGCACTGATAAACTGGCCCAAGGCGAATTTATACAAGGTGGTGTTGACGGCGAATTTAGATTTTCGCCGCTGTACTTCCTAATGTCAAAATGATGTGTTTGTTGTAATATGAATTCGCCTGGTTTACAACAAACACATCATTTTGACAGTAATAAGTACCGCGGCGAAAATCTAAATTCGCCATCAACACCACCTTGTATAAATTCGCCTTGAATTGGCCCTTAAGGTCTTCACATCGAGCTTGGCACTCGGTAACTCGTTCGATTATTTTTTCCCCATGTATTTTGTTTGTGTAAAATTATTTTATTATCGGTTCACCGGTTACCGAATTATCGTGGTGGAAGCGTGATAATTTTACTGGTAGTTGGTGAACTGCAATCAGCTGTTCGATATTTATCCAATTATGAATCCGCCCACTGCCGAAAGGCATAAGACATATGAGTAAGTGAAATTCCTTAAATTTTCTGTTACAGTTTATTTCTTTTAAGGAAAAAACTACGAATCTGCTGTTGATAAACATATACTGTTCCGAGCTTAACNCCCTAATCTGTAATTATAACAAGAGATTAGCCATATAAAATTCGTCCCTTGTTAATCTGTAATTATAAAATAATCTCAGATTTAACCGATAACTTTTCGGTGTCCATCCTAGTTTTATCGATTGTTTTAGCGAAAACGAGGAGAAATGCCAAATGTAAAAGTGGACGCTAGCAAGGAAAAGAGGTTTGTAAAGGTATTTTTAATAAAATGTTAAGTTAAAATATATTTATATTGCTTATTACAGCAGAAAAACGTGATCACGGCGGCACAGAGAAGAAACATAACTTTTCCCTGAGATGTGAGAATAACAAGCACAACAAATTTGACGGCTAATAATCTGAGATTCGCCTGTGTAAACGGGGTGTTTAAAAAACGAGCTTTGATTGTGATAATATTGAATGTGAACATACTTTTAGCATCATTAGGGGCGATTCTTTATTACGAATATCAACACAACAAAAAAAAACAGAGGAAAAACAAGGTTATTTAAAAAAGAAATTTTGTGAGTGTTTTTGTTAATATAAAAATTAAACATAAGTAAACAAGCATATATTTCTTTTACTTTTTTATCGCATGACTTACATGTACACTTAGATTAAATTTGACTCACATAAATGCCCATGCATACATATAAAATATTAAAACGTTGAATACATTGAAAAAACATAAAAACATAAAAAACATTGCTACCATCCATCTGTGGTAATTTCGTCAAACCAAATATTCGTTACAAACATAATATGTAAGCAGCCACGATATCGTCCGTGTCCTCCTTCTTGTAGATTGTTTTTCCCCTTTTCTGTAGTATATGTAAACTCTCTATTGTGTATCTTGCCCGTTCCCTCTTATCCTTGTCCAATAT